GCTCCTCCTCGGCTCGCGGTCCTCCTCCGACCCCTCCTTCCACCCACCAAAGTGGATGCGCTCCCCCGCGCCCAGCAGCAGAGGCCACCTCTCCCAGAAATGCGTGCGTCCGACCCCCTCCTCCCGGGCCCGAAGAGCCGGCGCCCCCGCCCTGTAGGTAGGTGGGTGAGGCGGGGTCCAGTCCCCGCGGCGGCCGTGACTGCTGCTGCCGCCGCGGGGGAGAGGCCGGGGGTAGCGGCCGGGACCGCCAAACTTGCCGCCCGCCGGGGCTCGCTGAAGCTCTCGAAGGTGTGCTAATGGCGCTGGGCGCAGCCACTGTTAACCTGCAAACCTCTTCTTGGGCTCGGAGGCCGAGAGGGGGCGAGGGAGAGCTTGACCCTTCCCCGCCCACCCCCTGGGGGCCCGTGGGGTGCGGGCTGGGGCGGCGGTGGGGAGGACAGGCTGCCTTGTGGCTGATTTGGGGAGAGAAGACCGTTGGATTCGTAGCAGCTCAGGTAGGAGTATGTCGCTGCATTTTTTCCGCCTGGATTAGCAGATGCGTTCTTCCTGTCTTTTTAGCCAAAACATGTAGACAGGCAAAGCGTTTTATTTTAGCGACATAAGGAAGTCACTGGATTTTTGTGAATTTCAGACCTGACTGGGTGGTATAGAACATTTGTGGCGCAACCCCTTACCGTCAACCTTGTAGGGCCGCTTTAGAGAAGGTCCTTCTAGAAGTCAAGTGATTGAGGAAAGAGGAGGCTGTGGTGTCCTTGTGCAGCCTACTTAGGAGCCTCCTTTTTACGCGAAGGGATGTGTTTAGAGGCAAGTTTAATACAGGTGTCGCGAGTGGAGATTCTGCTGGAAGGATGCACCGGGTCAGCCAGCAGAGGCAGCCTTGTGCTCAGCCTAACTTCCAACTCGTTGTGTGGTTTGTGTTTCTGAGAAACTGGTTATGAATTCTTTTTTCTCCTGCAAGTGTAAAGTTCATACCTCAGAGCTTTTGGCAAGATTATCCCATCCCAGGCTATCATTTTCTATTTTTATGTTAAGCGATAAGGTTTTATAGTTTTGGAAAATGGATCACTGCAAGCTCCAATTTTATATTAACGTATTTAGAGATTTGGAGAAATGAATCGGTATAAACTCCAAGAGGACAGAATCCTCGTTTTTTTCAATCCTGTAATCCCCTGCGTCTGATGCATAATAGGTGCTCATTAATTATTTGGTGAGTGAATGGACAGTCTTTCAAGCTATATCTAAAAACGACAATTTAGAATTACGATGTATTCGTGCTGTGGCTGAGAAATTTAACTGGATTTAAAAATTGCTTCTTTGTATAAATAGGCAAACTTAGTAATTTTAGCATTAATACTTGAATTCTGGTATTTTTTAGGACTATATGCTATTCTTCCGTAATGTGTTATTAAATGAGGTAATTCTCCTCAACTCCTAAATTCATTTCCTAAGCTTGCAAATTTTCCAGTCTCACTGGCAATCAAACCTGTTTCCATTAAACTTTCACACGCAATTTAAAAAATACGATTCATGTTTTAAAGAAAATTCTGAGTTACTCCAGAGGGAGTAGTGATTTGGTTCATGTGACATATTAACTTGTTTTAGAATTGAATTGTTGTGGTTTGATCCAATTACAACGTATTTATTACAGGTGAAGGTAAAAATAAAAACATTTTGAAGTGTCTGTGATTCCTAAATGATACACAATATATGGCATAGAGACAAATTTTTAACTGTTCTCCTCAGTACATAAGTATATTAGTTTGCAAGTTTGATAACCAGGGTGGTAGTAAAATGTTATTTTGGAAAAAAAAAAAATCAAGGATAACTGCATCACATTTCATTTGCTTTAGTTTTGCACTTGTTTTTGTTTACCTGTCACATAAATTTTGAGTCAGTATTAACTTCTTTTCAATCTCTGCTTAACAAAATTATAAAGGAACGGTCCATTCACTTTCTTTTTTTCTTTTCCTCATTTTAATACATCTTCACCATCCTCACTACATATTACCCAAGGGACTCCCTTTCAAAAAATGTGGTAATCCATAATGTATTACTATTGCTTCTCTAACCTAGTCGGGTTTTTCCTGGATGGGTGGGGAATAACACTTTTATGTAAAAGATAGTAAGACTGGGGAACCAACAGTGGAAAGGCACTTATGAAAAAAGTCTAATTTGTTATGATTTACTAAAACAAAGCAAAAATTCCCCCATGCAATAAAGATAATTATATTTTACACATCTTAAATTTGTAATCAAGGGTATGGAGCAGTTAATTTACATTGTTAATTTACATTGGAGCAGTTAATTTACAGTGCTCACTTTACACTTTTCAGAAGAGCCCTTCCCTGTGATTACAATAAACTCTTCTTTACTTTGTTACTTATAAATATTTATTTGTTGATTTGATGATAGAAGTTGAGCGCTTAACAATGTGTTGCTAATCTGGGCCTTGCAATCACAGTCAAATACCAGCTGGTTCCTAGTCTCAGAATGGAAGATGCGTTTTTCTCTCGTGTGTCCTGCATCAAGTGTGCAGAGCCTTATGGAATTGGATAACTCATTTGTTGGGTCCTGCTTCATCAGCCCCCAGCACCCTGCATCCATATGTACCACTTTCATGTAATCCTAAAACCTGTATCTTCTTTTTTTTTTTTTTTTTGTCTTTTTTCGTGACCGGCAACGGATCGCAACCCTCAGTGTTGTGCCCGTACCGGACCGGGACCGGCCACGGGATCGCAACCGTCGGTGTTGCCCCCGCTCCTCTCTCAGCCAGTGAGCGGCCGGTCTGTATGTGGGATCCGAACCCTCGGCGGGAGCGCCGCCGGGCTTCCCAAGCGGCGCACTGTAGCAGTGCGCCACCGGGCCGGCCCTAAAACCTGTATCTTCTACTCTGTCGTTCTGTATCTTCCCCAACATTTTATTTTAGAAACTTCCATCCCTTTCTTGCTAAATGTCACTTACTGTCCTTTTAAAAATCCCAGCCTATAATTCTCTTTTTCTTTTTTTTCTTGTGTTTAAGTTCAATAAGATCCACTCAATTTACATATGCTAAAATCTAAATTATTATTGTTGGAGAAAGGGTATACAGAATTTATATAACCTTGAATTTTAAATATAGGGAATGTGTAGCTGAAGAATAATTGTGCACTGGTCTCCCCTCTACAGTGGTACAAAATACCTTTGTTTCTCCACATGCCAGAAAATATGAATTGTCTGTTTGTAAATTTGATCAGAAGCTTAACTGGGAGAAACGATGTTTACAAAGGGTTGGCTGAGCAAAGGCCAAGACATCCACCCATTCCTCTGCAATACTAGGTGTTAGACCAAGAGGCTAGCCAGATTTTCAGAAGCCACATACTTTGGTAATCTTGTTTTGCTTCCTTGACACCCCCCAGCCCCCCATTGTGCTCCCACTGAGTCTATTAATAAAGACAGTCAGAAGAAACCTACTATTGTGTTACTTTAAAGATCTGGTTAAGATCATGGTCCTGGTCTGGCCCGTGGCTCACTGGGAGAGTGTGGTGCTGATAACACCAAGGCCATGGATTCGGATCCTATATAGGGATGGCTGGTTTGCTCACTGGCTGAGCGTGGTGCTGACAACACCAAGCCAAGGGTTAAGATCCCCTTACCGGTCATCTTTAAAAAAAATAAAAATAAAAAAAATAAAAAAGATCGTGGTCCCTTCTACAGTTCCTGTATAAAGACCTGTGCAAGGAATTCCATTTATCTCAAGATGCCGAAGAAAAGCTTTACTTCCCCTGAACAATTAATGTGGTTGTCTTTTTTTTTTTTCAGTCATGCAAAACGAGAATCACATAAGTGATTATACTTCCCATTCTAATTTTGCAAATAGGAAATGAAGAGTCAAATTTGCAGCTCAATTTTAGTAACCATATAAGAACATATAACCTAATGTCAATATTCTAACTTTCTCTTGGGTCTTGAGCTTATATCCTTTGTTTTTCTTGATTCTGATTCTTTTCTAATTACATTTTCCCATTTTCTTGAATTGTGATATTTTAAGCTGACTCACATCCTTTGTGGAACACGGCAAAATATAAAACATAAAACCAAATAAATGAAAACATTGTAGAATTGATTTCTGAACACAGTATGTTTTTGATGAACAAGTTTGTTACATTAAATATGTTTTGAACAAATATTGTAAGTTTAGTATATTTGAGCTTATATATATATGTGTCAAATGGAAAACAATGTTACATAGTTTTGTAAAACTAAATTCCACTTATTTTTTTAACTATTAAATTTATGTCCATTCATCACTAATTTGAAGTTCATAAAGCCATTCAGTTTAAGTCACTTATTTTGACTACCTGTCTTAGATGC